GAATCAAAGCAAAGGTCAGATTGGATATAAATATCTGTATCTCTGGGTCTTTCGGGTCAATCTTCAGAATACATTGACAACAATTATGAGCAAAGTGATTCTACATTCTTAGAATTGCTCACTAGTGCTTCATCTGAACTCTTGGGCAACAAAAACCTGTTAATCTAGCTAGTCTGAAATGTTCCTGCCAGAATTTTAGAGGATCTCACATTTCCGAAGTGGGGGCTGCTGTGAGGACAGATAAAACAAAACACTGGCTTTGGACAAGTTGGGGTAAGCCAATTCGAAGAAACTTGATTGTCAGAATCCCGTTTTCCCATCAGTGACCAAGAACAATACAGTATTTGGAGACATTCCGACCTTCAGAGCCTGGGATGAGATCTGTACTTTGAGTCTAACTACTTCAGATGCTGGGGAATCTTCTTTGAAGCTGATTCCTGCAAAAGCTGTCAGATGGTTTCATGGCAAGGTTGTGATCTTGCCCTAAGTGGACTTCTGGACTAGATGTGCCAGGGGACAGATTGAGTCAAACCTTTCTGAATACATCACAGATAGTTTATGAAAATTGATTTTAACCAATCATAAATTGTTTGCTACTCTTTTCCAGGGAAGTAAAAAAAGATTGGACTGGGTCTGCATTATTTGATCTCAGGTGATATTCCTGAAGAGTCAGAAGCTTGTCCTTGAATGGAAAGAAGAAATGTGATCTTCCTTATCATTACATGTCTAACCATTTCATTGGATGTCTTAACTATCATGTGTGTCCCCGCCCCACTCTCTCCCTCCCATCCTCCTCCCTTTTTCCCCTTCTTCCTCCCTCTACCCTACCTTCACTTTCAAGAAACGAGAGAGCCACCTTTTGATAAGAAAGTAAAATGTCTTAAAATTTCGAAGTAGAAAATTTTGTACATTTTCATCATGTGGCTATATACACCAACATAAAATTGTATTTGTATATTAAAAACAAACAAACAAACACTGCAGACACACAGTCTAATCTTCAGCAGCGTTCAACTGGTAAGTGCTCACATGTCAGCCATGATCCTGATCTAAGTAATGTGCCAGTGATAAACAACAAGGAAATTGGAGTATGACCTAATGGACAGTAATTCTAAAGACATTACAAATCTCATTACGTAAGTAATGTCTGGAAACTTTGTGCTGTCTCAAGCAAACCTAGATAACCAGACTGAATATTCTGTGATGACGAGCAAATTACACAATGGCATCATAATTTGTAATTATGCTATTGACTGTGTTGTGTATGAGTCCTGTGCCAATTCATTTTGATGACCTCTTTTTAAATTATTTTTTTACTTTACTTTGTAAGAACAACCCTAAAGCAGAAGTGCATTGTCTTTTCTGGCATTTTTTTTTTCTTTTTCAAATCTGAAATGCAACCAGCTGCTTCTGTGGAATAAAAATTGAATCACGAAGCAAATGGCTATCTCCAAACTTCAACCTGTAGGCAGCTCACAATTCGCAACCTTGCATATGGTACAGGAAATAGCCAATAAAAAAAAAAATGCTGAACATTCTACCTTACAAAATGTCAAAATGGGGAATGTAATTGAGGTCTCTTTAAAAGGCAAGCTGCTTCTTTCTTTATAAATCTGCCTCTGAAAATGACTGTAGAACATTATTCTAAAATCAGTATGTAAAAAAATTGCAAAAGTCTATTAAAAGAGTCTGTGTGGTGGCAGTGTTGACCAGGCCCTTCTATGAAACTCTGCAAACACCAGATCGTATTCCCATTTCGTGGGTATCTGGCATTTCACCGCCATCATCACGTGTCCATCACGCAAAAGCGTATTTTCCAGGAGGCTTCTGGAAAGATTGCAACATGCGGAGGCTGCCCAGCTCAGTCCAGGATGCAGAGCCTGGATTCTGTGTGCAGGCTGCTCAGTGGGGACACATGGTGGGCCCAGAGTAGTTTCTGCTAAGTGGGAATACTGTTGGCTCTATGGCAGTAATCAGGAAACTGGGATGCAGTCAGGTTTCCAGAGCCTAGCGGGGATAAAGCTGGACTCTGAGCAGCACACATACATTTTGACAGTGCCTCGGAAGTGCTGCTTTGATGCTATATTGCAGAACACTTCCCCGAGACAATGCACGTTCAGGAGTAGCCAGTGTTTATGTGTCTACATCTGTAACATTTGCATCTGAACTGCTCTCCAACGTACCGATGTAGAAACTCGAGTCCTACACCGGACCAGGGTGTCTGCCATAGGAGCCGCTGGCCTGATGTCGGCTCCTGACCACCTAATGTAAACACACTTAGACTGCTAATTTAGAAACAGTATAAAAGTGATTCAAATTATATCCTCAATGTTGATGTAATAATTTGTGTATACTGGGTTAAAACGTACCGTCATTAATTTCATATTTTCTTTTCGGAATGTGGCTAATAAAAAATTTAAAGGTGCATGTATGGCTGTGGGAGTAGTGGCACGTGCCTATTAACTCCAGATCATAGGAAGCCGAGGCAGGAGCTTGTGAGTTTGTGGTCAGTCTGGGCTATACAGTGAGTTCAAGTCCAGCCTGGGATACACACTAAAACTTTGTCTCAGAAAATAAAATTTACATGTGCAGCTTATATTTATTAAACTTGTTCCAGATGACAACTTTGTAGCCATTCTATCCTAATCTCTATCTTATTTATGTGCTGTTGTGGCAAAAGGGCTTACAGTTTGGGAAACACACGGGAATCACAGTTGCACTTTCTCAATGGGGAAAGTAATTGCAGATTGTCCTTTATGGTAAAATAACCTAGTTAAGCTAAGTGCCCGATCTTGAAATAAAAACAAACAAACAAACAAAAACAATAATGAGTGTAACTGTCCTCCCTCTCTCACCATTTTCAGCTTTTTGAGACAAGGTTCCTCTGTTAGCCCTGGCTATCCTGGAGCTCACTCTGTAGACCTGGCTGGCTTTGGGCTCAGAGATCCACCTGCCTCTGCCTCTACCTGCCTCTGCCGCTCGAGTGTTGGGATTAAAGGCATTTGCCACCACCTTGTAACTGTCATCTCCTAAATGCAAATTTTATTATTTGCTGAAATTTTGAAATTTTTGTTTTGTGACTACATTACCAGTTCATAGTAATTTTAGACGTATTCTTTCAAATTAAAATCGTCTTCCTTCAGTTTCAGTAATCTTTGAAATAGACTGGTATAATTAATTTAACAAACAACCTAAATGCTTACTCTTAAAATGGTAAGATAAGTTTTTTAGATGGTATTTCTGTTATATCTTTGATATGACTGAAATGTTTGACTTATTTTCCAGTGAAAGGACTTAATCCTTTGTAAAAAAAATTATCAGAACTTAATCTTTAGCATATAGGTTACAACTGAAAGCTGCTAGAGATGTTTACCTAATGCAGTGTATAGGCTATAAAAAGAGGGTATTATCCTAAAACTGTTATCACCAAGAAGTGGTGAGGGGGATCACAAAGTGACTGAATTCTAAAATACACGAGGCCTTGGCATTTCTAATGCTCTTCCTGAAGCTCCCGAGGTCATTCAAGGCACACAGCCCAGGTTGGAAGGAAGTAACCTGGGCTAGCTTTGAGTGATATGTTCTGATATTCTAATTGCTACCTCCTAACAAGACCCCTTAGTCTTCTCTGCTCTTCCTACGTATGAGACACGTACCATATGTATGTTAAGTCTGATGAGGAAAATTACATGAGGGGATTGTTCATCTTAAATGGAAATCTTAAGAAAGCATTCTTGAAGGTTAAAAATAGTGAGCCCTTTGTAACACTCACAATAAAAGTTCTGCGAGGGAATGATTAATGAGCAAAGAAGGAAAATAAGAGCATGAACACTGTTAATTAAAATCCATTGAAAAATAATTGCCCAAGTCAGATGATGAGCTCCGAGTCAACTACCCTTCAAGGATCTAAATTGCAGAATGCAGGAAGTACCACATGGTCTCCTCCTTCCAGAGAGCTGGAAGTTTGTGCTTGACATACTGAAACGCTGATGCCCCTAACGTCCTGGAGAAACCCCAGATCTAACAGTCTCCCAGTGTAACTGTTGGTATATGAATCGGGACAAATTTAGTTATCATTATTATTATTTTTTTTTAATGAGAAAGGATTTCTCTGTGGAGCCTTGGCTTTCCTCATTATGTAGACCAGGCTAGCCTCGAACTCAGAGAGCTGCCTTCCTTTGCCCCCCAAGTGCCGGGATTAAAGGCATGTGCCACCATCTCCCAGCTAAGTTATATTATTTTAATGAAAAAAAATTCTGTGCTGTTCATTTTTATTGCCCTCATTTTGGATTTTGAAAGTAATACTTTTTAAAATTAAGTAAACCCACTAAAAATGTAAAATAATTATTGATAAAGTGCACAATTTCACACAAGAAATTTGAGATACTGGATTTAGTGTAATTTCTATGAACCAAAGAAAAATTTTTATTCTGAGAAAAATAATCGTGCTAATTAAGGTCTAATGCTTTACCCTTCCTGAGGTCTGGTTTAAGATGTGTTTTCACTTTATTTTTGTTATTTGCTTTTTAAGGCCAATAAAAGTTCACCCTATTCTAAGCTTCTTGACATGCAAAGTTTCAACATCATAAAATGTGGACCCTTCT